CTCAGCTTTTGTAATAGCAAGTTTTGATCTTTGCATTCATCTTCCTCATGCTCATGTTCTTCATGTTCTTCGTGTTTATCAAGAGGGAAACCCAGATTTTCCCGACTTCGCTTTTGAATGCGGCCATCGAGGCTACACCTCAGCAAGGAGGTGTGGAACCTCGGCCTAGACCTAGTAGTTGCCCAGCGTGTTTTTCCAAAGAAAAGAAACTGGGATTCGATTTTATTGACTTAGAGTTTTTGAAGAATGCCTAGGTTATTTGCATGTAAACTAGACTTGTTTTGAGTAGTGCATTCAATAGACTTTGCCATGTGTTTGTAGGACTCGGACTTGCCTTGACCCCGACGTTTGAAGAACTAGGTGAGTGGTATTTTTGATAAAGCTACGTTATCAATGTTTTGATGAGTTTTGATTTGCTTTGTTTTTGAAAGGTATTTGTTAAGCATGAATGATTGTCCTTAGTTTTGTATCTCGTATTATACTTGCTTGAATGACCTTCTCGGAAAGTCCCTTGTGCTGGAGGACTCTAAACATTCGCAGCACATCTCGTTTGAAAGTCCCTTGTGCTGGAGGACTGTAAACTTTCGTAGCACATCTCGTTTTGAAAGTCCCTTGTACTGGAGGACTCTAAACTTTCGCAGCACATCTCGTTTTGGAAGTCCCTTGTGGTGGAGGAATTTAAACTTTCGCAGCACATCTCGTTTTGAAAGTCCCTTGTGCTGGAGGACTCTAAACTTTCGCAGCACTCTCGTGTTAAAAGGCTACGGGCCTTTGTAACATAGGTCCCTTGTGCTTGAGGACTCTAAACTTTTGTAGCACCCTTGCTTGAGAAGTCTCCCTTGCTTTGTTTTGTTTTGCCACTGATGGTTTACCGCGTGGATACGTTTGTCGGAATGTTATTGTTTGTAATATGTGATGCTAGTGAGTATCTCTTGAAGCTTTGAAGATCTGTTAGATGGACGAGGTCCATTCCTTGTTATATATTAAGTTTTGTCTTGTATTGTTTTGAAAGGACTTCGGCTATTATTCATGCAAACCCCTTTATTATTTATGCCATTCACTGAGTATCCAAGCTCACCCTCTCTATATATATGTAGGTGATGAACAAGAAGGCGGTGACGCCTAGATGTGATTCTGGAGCTTATTTTGGGTTTTGATTATGTCGACTTAACCTGTATTTACGTCAGCAGTCTTGAAAATTATGCTTCTCAATTTGTACTACTTGTATGTTGCATACGTCGGCTTGAGAAGCCTTTTGATCAAGATGTGTGTTTTGTATGATTGTTATGTCGGCAAAGAAGATGTCGGCAATCTGGCAGACTGTGTTCTTAAACCTGTAATTCGTACAATTTGTTTATGTCGGCTTGTGGAGCCCTTTGCTAATATGTAAAATGTAATTTGTACTTTGCTTTGTTTGTAATTAAGTTATAACCCATATGTAAATGGTTGCTATCTCATTTGACTTATGCACAGCTCTTATGGACTAATCTGTTTGAATAAATCGCTTCCGTACTTGTTAGCCCCATATAATTGTACTCTATTTGTGTGTGAAATTGTAAGTTGGCCTTCGGTAATCCCGGATTACTGGCCATCACGGCACCAAACTACTAGGGGCGGTTTGGGGTCATGACAGAATGGAATCATAGCACAAGTTCCTTAGTATACGTTGTTCACATACTTTGAGTCCTAAAGAGCATAGGATTTCCCCTTAGAAGGAAGTTAGAATTGCATCATATTGCTTGCTATGTGAACGAGGTGTACATTATCTCGGCATGCTTAACTGTTACTTGCCTACGTGATTATTTGCTCACTTTGTTTTAAAGCCATCTTTTGCATACTCATAGCATCATGAGGAGGGGTAGACCTCCAGTTGGCCAAGACCAGTCGGAGGACAGAATAGACAGACTAGAAAGGCTAGTTGAAGGTTTGGCCCGCGAGTTAAGGCAGACCAGGCAGTAGTATGCTAGTGCGACATCGACTCAGCCCGAGCAGACAAACGGCCGAAATGCAGTTCCACCTCCACCTCCTCCAGTACCACTAGTGCCCCTACAGCCAGCTTTATACGGGGACAGCATGATAGCTCTGATCAGGGAGTTCAAGAAAATTAAGCCACCAAGATTCCAAGGGGGTATTGAACCGATGAAGGCCGAAGCTTGGGTTTTGGAAATGGAAAAGCTGTTCGAGATCTTTCCTAGCACCGACACCCAGAAGGTGACATTAGCAGCTTTTACACTAGATGACGACGCCCACAGATGGTGGATGATGGTTCGAGAAAGCAATCCAGATTTGACTTGGATCCGATTTTTAGAATTGTTTTACACCAAGCATTTTCCTTTAAGTGTTTGGAATCGCAAGGCTACCGAGTTTCAGACTTTGACGCAAGGCAGTAGAACAGTAGCTGAATATGACCGTGCCTTTACCGAGTTGGCAAGGTACGCACCCCACATGGTCAATGATGAATATATGAAGGCTAGGAAGTTCGAAAGTGGACTCCGTGGACCGATACAAGACCGGGTTAACATGCTCAACATGCCAACTTATGCCGGAGTGTTGGACAAAGCTATTCTGGCCGAAGCTAATTTGAACAGACACCAGGGCTCGGGAGAGAGCCAGAGGAAGAGGTAGAGTTATGACAATCGCCGAGCACAGTTTGGTACCAAGAAGAAAGCGAACGTCAGCAGTTCAAGCAACCCAAGACAAGAGAGTGGTGCTAAGCCGATATGTTCCAGTTGTGGGAAGCCACATTTCGGGGTCTGTCGTCGGGCATCTGGGGCTTGTTACGAATGTGGTGAAGTAGGTCATTTTGTGAGGGACTGTCCAAAAATGAGGGCTGGGGAAAGTAAGAAAGATGAGAATACTTCGGGCTCCGTGTAGAAGGTTAACGCCGGGAAAGGACCAATGAGACAAGGCAGAGTTTTGCACTGGTACCAGGGGACACTCAAAATGCTGAGACAGTGGTGTCAGGTATGCTTTCAATTTGCTCTCAAAGTGCATATGTATTGAAT